GCGCCTAGATATTTTGTCCATAAATACAGTGAACAGAACCGGTGACAAAGGGCAGCCCTGTCGGAGGCCAACATTCACCGGGAACAGGTCTGACTTACTGCCGGCAATGCGAACACAGCTCTGGCTTCGGTCATACAGGGATCGGATGGCCCTCAGCAGAGGACCTCCGACCCCGTACTCCCGGAGAACCCCCCAAAGGACACCCCGGGGAACACAGTCGAACGCCTTCTCCAAATCCACAAAGCACATGTGGACAGGTTGGGCGAACTCCCATGAACCCTCGAGTATCCGATGGAGAGTATAGAGCTGGTCCAGTGTTCCGCGACCGGGACGAAAACCACACTGCTCCTCCTGGATCCGAGATTCGACCATCGGCCGTAACCTCCTCTCCAGTACCTTGGAGTAGACCTTACCGGGGAGGCTGAGGGAGTGTGATCCCACGATAATTGGAACACACCCTCCGGTCCCCCTTCTTGTAGAGAGGGACCACCACCCCGGTCTGCCACTCCATTGGCACTGCCCCCGATCGCCACGCGATGTTGCAGAGACGTGTCAGCCAAGACAGTCCTACAACATCCAGAGACTTTAGATAATCAGGGCGGATCTCATCCACACCCGGAGCCTTGCCACCATGGAGGCTACCAACCACCTTGGTGACCTCAGCCAGGGAGATGGATGTACCCGCCCCAACATCCTCAGCCTCTGCCTCTGTAACAGAGGACGTGACGGGGGGATTGAGGAGAACCTCAAAGTATTCCTTCCACCGCCCGACAATATCCCCAGTCGAGGTTCAGCAGCTCTCCACCCGCACCGTACATGATGTTGGCAAAGAACTGCTTCCCCCTCCTGAGGCGCCGGATGGTTTGCCAGAATCTCTTCGAGGCCGACCGATAGTCATGCTCCATGGACTCTCCGAACTCCTCCCAGTCCCGGGTTTTTGCCTCTGCAACAGCCCGGGCCGCGGCACGCTTGGCCTGCCGGTACTGGACAGCTGCCTCAGGAGTCCCCCGAACCATCATGGCTTGATAGGACTCCTTCTTCAGCCTGACAGCATCCCTTACTGCCGGTGTCCACCACCGGGTTCGGGGGTTGCCGCCGGGACCAGCACCAGAGACCTTGCGACCACAGCTACGAGCCGCCGCATCGGCGATTGAGGCAGAGAACATGGTCCACTCGGACTCCATGTCCCCCTCCTCCGCCGGGACCTGGGAGAAGCTCTCCCGGAGGTGTGAGTTGAAAGTCCGTCTGACAGGGGGCTCAGCGAGACGTTCCCAGCAAACCCTCACTACACGCTTGGGTCTGCCAGGTCTGACCGGCTTCTTCCCCTGCCAGCGGATCCAACTCACGACCAGGTGATGATCGGTTGACAGCTCCGCCCCTCTCTTTACCCGAGTGTCCGAGACACGCGGTCGAAGGTCAGATGATACGACAACAAAGTCGATCATCGACCTCCGGCCTAGGGTGTCCTGGTGCCACGTGCACTGGTGGACACCCTTGTGCTCGAACATGGTGTTCGTGATGGACAAACCGCGACTGGCACAGAAGTCCAACAACTGAGCACCGCTCGGGTTCAGATCAGGGGGGCCGCTCTTCCCAATCACCCCTCTCCAAGTGTCACTGGCGTTTCCCACATGGGCGTTGAAGTCCCCCAGGAGAATAACGGAGTCCCCGGGCGGTGCACCGTCCAGTACCCCTCCCAAGGACTCCAAGAAGGCCGGGTACTCTACACTGCTGTTCGGCCCGTAGGCCGTCACAACAATGAGAGACTTGTCCCCCACCCGGAGGCGGAGGGACGCGACCCTCTCATTCACCGGGGAGAACTCCAACACGTGGCGGCTGAGATGGGGGGCAATGAGAATGGCCACCCCAGCTCGCCGCCTCTCCCCGCGGGAAACTCCAGAAAAGTGGAGCGTCCAACCCCTCTCAAGGAGTTGGGTTCCAGAGCCCAAGCTGTGTGTGGAGGTGAGGCCGACTATCTCTAGTCGGTATTGCTCAACCTCCCCCACGAGCTCGGGCTCCTTCCCCCCCAGTGAGGTGACGTTCCACGTCCCAAGAGCCAGATGTTGTGTGTGCGGACTGGGTCGCCGAGGTCTCCGCCTTCGACTGCCGCCCAGTCCTCTCTGCACCGCTTCACCACGGACCCCTCTGCAGGTGGTGGGCCCACAGGAGGGACTGCCCACGTCATCCCTTCGGGCTGAGCCCGGCCGGGCCCCGTGGGCTAAGGCCCGGCCACCAGGCGCTCGCATACGGGCCCCGACCCCAGGCCTGGCTCCAGGGTGGGGCCCCGGCTGCGCCATGCCGGGCGACGTCACTGTTTTCGTGTTAGTGCTGTCCATGGTGTCTTCTGGACTGCTCTTCGTCTGACTCGTCACCTGAGACCTGTCTGCCATGGGAGGCCCTACCAGGGGCATGAAGCCCCAGACAGCATAGCTCCCAGGATCATCCGAGTACTCAAACTCCCCCACCACGTTAAGGTGGCAGTCCATATTGCTGAAGGGAGTTGTAAGTTTGTTGTTTTTAAGTTTATAATTGATGTTATTGTGGATTTGAGCTGGAGATATTTCAGGAAATGATTGCTCCCGATGCCGAACTCCTGGGCGAGGAGAGGAAATGGAACAAAGGTGTTGGATGCGATAATATGGTTTAAGTGAGTGATACCCTTTTCAGCCCACGTGGCAAAATGAAGTGTTTTTTTATTACATACAAAATCCGGGTTATTCCAAAGTGGAGAGAAAATGGATGGAGAAATTGTGGAGTTAGTAATTTGGTGGAGTTTCCACCAGGCTGTCAGAGCGGAAGATATTGTTGCTGCTTTGAAACATGAATGTCTTTTAATGGTTTGTTGAGTGATTTTATCGATTCTGTGAGCTAGTGTTTTACTGATGATTTTTATGTCAACGTTTATGAGTGAGATTGGTCGGTAGTTTGATGCAAGGGTGGGATCTTTATTTGGTTTTGGGATGAGTGATATGAGTGCTGTATTCATGTGTGTTGGGAATTTACCATGTTGTTTTACTTCTGCTATTGTTCTCATGAATAATGGAGATAATTTTGGCCAAAAGTGTTTGTAGAACTCAGCAGGGAAGCCATCAGGTCCAGGAGCTTTATTGTTGGGCATATGGTTGAGAGCAAAATTGAGTTCTTTTTCGGTAATTGGTAAATCTAAAGTGGTCATTTGTTCCAGAGTGAGTTTTGGTAGATTGATGCTATTGTGAAATTGGTTTATATCCTCCGGATTTGGATTCAGGTCTGAGGAGTATAGTTTGGAGTAATAGTCTTGAAATATCTTATGAATTTTGTCCGGTGCATTGTGTGGCTTCCCTGCTGAGTCCTGAATAGATGTTATTGCATATTTTTCCTTATTCCTTTTGATTTGATTTGCCAGGTACTTGCCAGATGTATTGCTATGATGAAATGCTTCGTGCCTCAGTCTATGGATAAGAAACTGTGTTTTCTTGTTGGTTATTTCATTTAACATAATTTTATTTTTTCTGAGTTCTATTAGAGTGGTGTCTGATGGGTTATTTGCATTTGTCATTTCTAGTTCCTGTATTTTTGCTTCCAATTGTGTTTCCTTTTCTTGTTTCTTTTTTTTATGAACACAGAATGAAATTATTTTACCTCGTAGTACAGCTTTCCAAGTTTCCCATAATAGCGCAGCAGATGACTTTGGGGAGTCATTCACTTCGAGGAAGGATGTCCACTCTCTCTTAAAGTAGCTGTCAAATTCAGGGTCTTTCAAAAGGGATGTATTGAAGCGCCATCTTGTTGAGTGTTTCTGTAGGGTGGGTGGGTTCCATGTGAATGCTACCGGGGAGTGGTCACTTATATTAATGGGGTGGATTTTGGATTCAGTAATATTTTGAATAATGGAGTTGCTTGTTAAAAAGAAGTCAATACGGGAATAGGTTTTGTGAACAGATGAAAAGAAAGTATATTGTCGAGTCTTTGGATGTTGAAGTCTCCAACCATCGCCAAGACCAAAACCACCCATGAACTGCTGAATTGTCTGAGTGGATTGCCAGGATTTTGTTGTCATTTTGGATCGGTCTAATGCTGGGTTGATTACAGTGTTGAAGTCACCCCCTAAAATGACAGGGCAGTGAGAAAGATTTGAGAGGGAAGAAAAAAAATTAAGAAAAAAGGAGGGGTCATCGGAGTTGGAACCATAAATATTGCCTATAGTGACTGGGTTGTTGTCAATAGAAATGTTGATAATAATAAATCGACCTTCCGGATCAGTAATTGTTGTGTTATGGGTGAATCTTATTTTTCTATTTATTAGGATACAAACACCTCTTTGTTTTGAATTATAAGGCGATGAAAATGACTGAGTGAATTTTGAGTTTCTTAAACTGTTCTCTTTTGATTGTGTGAGATGTGTTTCTTGTAAAAGGCATATGTCTGCTTGAATGTTATCCAGGTAATTCAAAACTTTCAATTTCTTGACATGAGAGCCAACACCACGAATGTTCCAGGTTACAAAATGTTGCATATGAGATTAGTTATGAACTCTTTATGGCTGTATGATTGAGTATGAGTTTGAGTGTTAGTGGTTGTGTGTGGTTGTGATGTATGGGAGAGTCTACAGACAGACAAACAAGACAGGACAAAAACTAACAGGAGAACACAAAAACATACATACATACAAAACAAAACAACTTACTAACAAAAGACAGTGCATTGTATGAGCAGTGCTGTGGGAGAGAGGTGCAAGTATTATGTATATATATAAAAGTTTGTTTTTGTTTTTTTGTTTTTGCTAAAAGTAAACGGTTTAACGTACCGATTTTTGTCTGATGCATCGGCGCCTGGACTGTTTCCTTGACTGATTGCCCGCGTCTGCCGCCTGCTACAGCCTGTCACGGTGTGTCCCTGCTGTGCCCACCATCACGCTTGCTCCCGGGGCTGCCTCCGGCCAAGCCGCGCTGTGCTCTTCTCAATCAGCGGATTACAGCCCGGTTACTGGCCGGCCTGCACCCCGGAGCAGCCAGCCAGCTATGCGGCTACTGTTCGTGGCTTTCCTGCTGGCCTCTCTGCGGCTCCTGTCAACACCGGCTCCGTCCATGGCGCTTCGTTACACGTCCTCACAGCTCATCAGACTCAACCACCGCGCACCTCCTTCACTGGACATCACCTCAACTCTGCAACAACACTGTCTTGTCCGCCGTCGCCCCTACATCCACCGAGGGTCCCGTCGCAATCTTGTCTTCAATTTCACAGGCAAAAGCAATATTCCCTCTGTCTGGTCCGCCTGCAGATCCATGCGCAGCTCACACCGGCTTGGTTCCAACAACATCCGCATACGTCATCAGAGCACTCATCACGTGACTACATCAAACCTCCTGTCTGTCCCAATTTCTGCCACACAAACTTCACAACAAAAGCCTCTAAAAACAGCACTATTCAATACACGGTCACTCAGCAATAAAAAGCCTGCTCCTCTGTGAATTCATCATTGACAATAAACTGGACATACTTTGTCTCACTGAAACCTGGCACAAACCCATGGATTACACCACATTAAATCAGACCACCCCACCTGGATATTCCTACATCGATAACCCACGCCTAGACCGGAGAGGAGGTGGCATTGCAGTCATCCACCGCAGCAACATCTCCCTCCGCCCCATCTCCATCCCGGCTGTATCTTCATTCGAACACCTGGCCTTCAGACTTCCCGGTTCCCAATCACTCATTGCTGCAGTCATCTACCGCCCTCCCAAAACCTGCTCATCATTTCTCTCAGATTTTACTGATTTCGTAACTCAGCTGTCCTCCATTTTCTCCATCCGTTCTCCTCCTTGGTGACTTCAACATTCATATTGACTCCCCTACAGTTAAATTTACATCTGACTTTTTGGACATTTTAAACTGTCTCAACCTCACCCAGCACGTCACTTCACCCACACACAACCATGGACACATCCTGGATCTGGTCTGTTCCACCCCCTCCTTCACCATACACAACCTGTCACTCACCGACCTGACCATTTCTGATCATCTGGCCATCACCCTGGACATAATTACCCCCTCTCCCACCACCAAACAGACACAAACAATTACTTTCCGAAATCTTAAGTCCATTTGTCCCATATCTCTCTCCTCCTCCATATCCCATGCCCTATCCAGCTCTTCCCTCCCTTCAGATCCATCTGCCTCCGATCTAGTCACTTTCTATAACCACACACTCTCCTCCTGCCTCAACCAAATTGCCCCCATGAAAACTGCCTCAGTCTCCTTCTCTACCTCCGCCCCTTGGTATACCCCAGATCTCCACAGTCTCAAAAAACAAAAGAGACAACTTGAAAGGCTCCATATAAAAACTGGTCTCCTCGTTCATGCACAAGCCTACAAACAAGCCACAACCACATACAACTCTGCTCTCAAAACTGCCCGGTCCAACTACTATTCACAACTCATCCACTCAAATTCTTCCAACCCCCGCACCCTATTCTCAACTTTTGCAAATCTGACAAAACCCAAGGACAATATAACCTCCACATTCACTACAGACAAATGCAATAACTACCTGTCATTCTACCATACCAAAATCCATACCATACACTGTTCACTTGCCTCCACTTCCTCCTCTTCTCCCTACTCCGAACTTGAACCCACTGCACCCACAGTCCATAGCCTTCCTTCCTTCTCCCCCCTCTCTCCCTCTGACACCACCAAACTTCTCTCAACCATGAAATTTTCCAACTGCCAGCTTGATCCAATCCCATCTTCCCTCCTCAAAACCTGTCAACTAACTCTCATCCCTCTCATCACCTGCATCATCAACACTTCCCTAACCTCTGGTTCTGTCCCTTCCCCGCTCAAACTAGCCTCCATCACACCCCTCCTGAAAAAACCCGGCCTCAACCCTGACAACTTGGACAACTTTCGACCCATCTCCAACCTCCCGTTACTGTCAAAAATCCTGGAACGCGCCGTCATCAACCAAATCCACCAACATCTCCACTCCTCCCATCTCTTCGAAACATTTCAATCTGGATTCCGTACACACCACAGCACAGAAACAGCACTTCTCAAAGTTACTAACGACCTCCTCCTCGCTGCCGACTCTGGTTCCTTATCCATCCTCCTTCTCCTCGATCTCTCCGCTGCATTTGACACAATAGATCATTCCATCCTCCTCCACCGTCTACAATCCATTGGAATTTCTGGCACAGCACTCCTCTGGTTCACCTCTTACCTCTCCAATCGTCTCCACTTCGTGTCTGTCAACAACTGCAAGTCCCACACTTCCCCCGTCACCCACGGTGTCCCCCAAGGTTCCGTGCTCGGCCCTCTCCTCTTCACCATCTACATGCTTCCCCTCGGTCAGATCATCCGCCATCATGGACTCCATTTCCACTGTTATGCTGATGACACGCAACTCTACATCTCCACCAAATCCATCACCCCGGTTATTCGCTCCACCATCGAAAATTGCATCTCCGACATTAAAACCTGGATGACAATAACCTTCTCAAACTCAACAGTAACAAAACAGAACTCCTCATCATCAGCCCCAAAACTCTCCTGCCCTCTGTCCAGAACTTCACCCTCCTCATTGACGGTCACACTGTCACCCCCTCATCCTCTGTACGCAACCTTGGCATCATATTGGACTCCACCCTTTCATACCAAACCCACATCAAACACATCACCAAAACCTCCTTCTTCCACCTCCGCAACATTGCCCGCCTCCGCCCCTCCCTTACCCAGTCAACAGCCGAAATCCTCATCCACGCATTCATCACCTCCAGACTCGACTACTGCAATAGCCTCCTCTACGGACTTCCCACCACTCATCTCCAAAAACTGCAATACATCCAGAACTCTGCAGCCCGCCTCCTCACCCACACCCGGTCCAGAGAACACATCACCCCTGTCCTCCAGCAGCTCCACTGGCTCCCCGTTCAATACCGCATCCATTACAAGCTCCTTCTCCTCACCTACAAGTCCCTCCATAACCTGGCCCCGCCCTACCTTACTGAGCTCCTACAGCAGCACCAACCCACCTGCCGCCTTCGCTCAGCCAATTCCAACCTCCTCACCCCCATCACCCGCACTAACCGCCGAACCTTGGGGGACAGAGCTTTTGCCATTGCCGCCCCAACCCTCTGGAACTCACTCCCACTGCTCATTAGAAACTCCGACTCACTATCAAACTTTAAATCAGTAATCAAAACCCATCTTTTCAAACAAGCTTTTCCGTAAACCCCTTTTTATTATTGTATTTTACTCCCCATGTGAAGCGTCTTTGAGTGTCCAAGAAAGCGCTATATAAGTTTGATGTATTATTATTATTATTATTATTTATCAGAGAGAGACACAGAGAAAGGGGAAGGGATAGGGAGACTACATTTGTGTTGATATGGTTATAATGGTGTCCATCAATATACAATTTGTCAACTGTGATTATTGCTTTCTTACCTTGTGTCATCATTTGTTTGCGGATTGGGAAAAGCTGTTTTCGTCTGCAAATGATTTAGTGTGGATATTGGTCATTGTGTCATGATTCTGTTTTTGTTCTTTTCCCAGAGCATGTGTGAGACAGGGGGCGTGGCCGGTCTCTGCTGGGCTGCTGACGAGACACACCTGCATCCACTCACTCCACTCTACTCAGTATTTGAACCTGGTCTGCTCATCACTCCTCTGCCAGATAATTCCGTCATATCGGTAGTGCTGCACAGGTTTTTCTTTACCTACCTGCTTTTTGGATTACTTACCAGTTGCTATTCCAGATCCTGTGCTCGTCCAGTCCTTGTGTCTTCGCTCTGCTCTCCGGCCGGCCTGCTCCCTGTCTCCACTGCTCCTTTCATTTTGAGTATTTTTTGTATTTTTGGTTAATTAAAGACTTTTGTTGAACTGGTTCGGCCTCCCTCTGCTTTGGGGTTCGAAAGCTCACCCTCAACACATTGAGTCCATAGTGAGTCCCTTTTAGCTGCCTGCCTTGACGCTGAACCAGTTCTTTGTGTTTATAGTGTTCAAATTTCACAATGATGGGTCGGGGTCGCGTGGAGTTGGGGAGTTTTTGTCCTAAGCGGTGTACACGGTGGAAGGAAATCATGTCGGCTGTTTCAGGGGGGAGTTTGAGCTGATTAACCATGAAGTGTTTTACCAACTTCTCGGGGTCTTCGGTGGGGGATGATTCAGTGATGCCGGAAAAAATCAGATTGTCTCTCATACTTCGTGATTGTAAATCCAGGATGGTTTCTTTCATAGCTTTGTTTTCGTTGGATATGGACGAGAGCTGTGAGGAAACTGCGGTGAATTGTGAAGTAAGCGTGGCAACGGAGTTTTGCAGACCGGCGTTTTCTTTAGTGAGTGACTCGATTTGTAGTTGACTGTATTCTAGGCTCTGGCGTATTTCTGGAAATTCCTTATGCAGTACCTCAATCAGGGAGAGTCTGGAGTCCATTGAAGCCAAACGTTCATTGATGGATTCCAGAATGTCACTTATATCGGTATTTATGAGCTGATTCGGAGTGGATGATGGCGAAGAATCGGGTGAGGATGAGGTGGAAGAGTCCACTGTGCGCGGCTTTTTGGCTTTCCGTGAGCGTCCCATGGTGCAAATACGGTTGCAGCACTCGTCAATATAGTCTTCAAGGTGGTCCAGGTTTGTACAGTATTCCAGATTGTGTAGGGAGGAAAAGGGGAAGAAAGGAAGAGGAAAAAAAAAAAGACTGTAAAGGTGGAAAAGTTTCTCTAGCAGCAGCGCGTTGGCATGTTGGTTTTTGAATGTTCTTACTGATGTTGCATTTTTAAATGAGTCATCCAGACTGTTCCAAAGATGTACTCTGATCGAGACACATCGACCTTTGATGTTAGTTCCTCTTAGATTATAGTGAGTCTCTCTGGGTTTAAACCTTTCTTGTATACAATTTGGGAGCTTGTAGTTATGGACTTGGTAGATAACAGCAGCTGTGTTGAGATCCACTAGATTGTTTAATTTTAAAGTATTCAATTTGATAATGTGTGTGTGTGTGTGTGTGTGTGTGCATATGTGCATATAAGGACCATACCTGTGTTTGCTTGTTCTGATGGTGTTTTCTTGTCTTCCAGGGGTCAGCAGCTCGTCCCCTTCAGAAAGTCCAAACTCACTCACTACTTGCAGTTCTTCTTCTGTGGCCCCGGGTCAAAGGTCACCATGGTCGTCAACATCAACCAAAACTCGACCAGCTTCGAGACGCTGAATGTGCTCAGGTTCTCTGCCCTGGCTCAGAAGGTACAACTGCTGATTGTACTGCTGCTGATGGTATGACTGTTGATGGTACAAATGCTGATGGTACAACTGCTTATGGTACTGCTGTTGATGGTACAGCTGCTGATGGTAAATGTAACAACAAAAACAAAGCATCTTGGGCATGTCATCACTGCAGACATGACAGATGACAGTGACATTTACAGACAGTGCAGGATGCTGTATGCGCAGGCCAACACTCAACTGATGTCAAAGTGCAACTGTTTAAATCCTACTGTACACCACTGTCCAACGCCCACCTGCGGACTAACTGTAAAAGAGTCTGGAAAACCAGTCTGCACAAGCTGCAGGTGGCCTATAATGACCCTTTTCGAGTGCTCATGGAAAAGCCACGTTGGACCAGTGCATCTGAGCTGTTTGTCAGTGAGTGAACACACTGTCAGTGAGTGAACACTTTAAAGGCTGTGCTGAGGAACCTTATGTACCGCTTCATTTGTCGACTGAATAAATCAGAAGATGTTTTTCAGCGCCAAAATTACTACATTAAGTCCAGTACCACTCGAGTTGATAAGAAGGAACAAACCATCTGTGAACTGAACCAGACCATCTGTAGACTAGAGAAGCAGCTACAGAAGGAGGAGCTACAGAAGAGGAAGGAGGATCTACAGAAGAACCAGGAGGAGCTACAGATGAAGGAGAAGGAGAAGAAGGAGGAGCTACAGAGTGTTCAGAGGTACATATCATTACATAAACACCAGTATCACAATTAAAACATTAAAATAACACACACACACAAAAAAAAATGTTTATTACTACATACAAGTTGTATTAAAATCCGTAATTTAATTGAAAACTTGCGCTCATTGATTCAGCTTGTGTCTGAATTCAGACTGTAAAAAGTGCTGAGTAGTAACTTGGCGTGACGCTGCTCTCCTCCAATCACAGAACGAGGCTGTGTCCTCTAGCCTCTACAGCGCTGCTAAACACAGCAGCATGTTAGCAGAAAGTTACAAGCTTCCTCTGGCTGGAACAACATACAGAGGAAAACAGCCCAAAAAACGCAACAGTGAGGAAGAGAAGAGGGAACTAAAGCGAAAAAATGATCAAAGAAGAAATCAAGCCCGGGTGAATATATGTAGTGTTAGCTTACATCGTCTCCTCTGGAGAGACCTGCGGGTGCAGACCGCCTCGGACTATCTATGCTCGGACTACATTGCGAAACTAGCGGTAATCTTTCAGTTATATATTTTGTTAGCAGTGCGTTGCTTTTGTACAATTTCATCAGTGATTGTTGTACAGCTTATGAGAAGTTGCGCTAATGCTAACATATGTATCAGATCGCAAATAAAACTAGATGGCTCCATGGGATGAGAGCGTAGGGGAAGGAAGCAAGCGCGACGCAATTGGCATCTAACGGCCCTCGCCGCACCGCGCAAAGGAGGTGGCGCTGACGCGCCATTTTTCTACCCCCCTGATGGGAGCAACACTGTGCATTTTGAATGCCTATGATCAGTGATTGTGTGTGTCTTTTGAAAAGGTCCCTTGCCTCCTGTTTGAGCAACGGAGCGGCAAAATGTGTTTTTTTTCTGCTGTTTTTGACAACATTAATTTTGTTCCCGTTTGCACAAACAAAGTCTGATTTTCATTAAACTTGAATCCATTGTTCAACTCCAGGGTTTAGGTCAGGTGAAAGTGAAATATTTTAAATTGGCCCATTAGCGCCCCCTACAGACTGAGGCAAAGTTTACATGGGGAGCCAAACCAGCTCTACTTATCATATTCATTACAATTTGACTAACAATCTTCTATGGCTACGGGAACAAATCATCACATGGCGGCGCCACCTCCTTTGATCGGTGGTGCGGCGTAGTGCGGGGCGTTGTGGAGCAGCGCGCGCGGTGCGGGGAGTCGCGCGTTGCTGCGAGGGCCGTTCGACGCCGCTTGCGGCTTTAATTTTTGCTTTGTTTTTGTCACATTATGTCATTCTTTTTTATTTTTTAATGGGGGGAGGGTTCTTTTTGGGCAATTTATTTTATAATTGTTTTTTATAAGGCCAATAAAGTAATACATTGTTGTTGCCACACAAATGTATTACGTTATTGGCTTTAATTGGCTGTTATTATGTTTTTGGTTTTGGCACACGTTATTACACTAATTTTACATCTATTCTTCTTTTAAGAGACTTTTAGAAATAACCCTCTGTCAAGCCGGGCAACCAACTGTTATGGTCAGCTCCCGGCACAAGATATTCTAATCATTTAGGTCGATACATGCGTCTTGTTTCCCAGCGTCTGAAACTGCTTCCCATCACTGTTTGAAACATTAGCACAAAGGGCCTCTTGTTCAGCGATAGCCTTGGTCACCATCTGCAGGTCCATTATCTCAAATGTACTCACAGCGTGTCCCTTCTTATCAAATTCGAAGGTCCTTTCGGTGCGCTAAATGTATCTCCCAAACTTTCCCGTCTGCAGCCGCGTATGACTCATCTCTCTTGTGACGAATGCTCATTGTTCTGTCTGACACACCTCCAGTATAAGATCATAGACACGCTTGTTGGGGGGACTGACAGACACGGCATCGGTCCAGGTCCCGTTTCTGTCTGGCTCCTTTCTGCGCAGAAATGTCATTTTTGTACTCATCACTTCTGTGAATAAACTGCACAAAAGGACAAGTTTGTTTCCTCTCGGAATTATTTCATTTGAAGCATCAGAATTCCCATAACAATTTGGTGTCAGAAGTGGTCTCGAAGGCTGACCGTTGGAACACAGGGGTCCGGCTCGGGGGACTGATCGCCCGGGATTCAAAACCAATCTCGTTGCTTTCCCATATCTCTGGACGGGCGGACTGACCGGACGTGCTGAGTTTCAACCGTCGCCTCTCGGGATTTTCACACGAAAACAAACGGTAACTTGTTTAATATTTGACTTTCTATGCTTCAGTGGTGAATCCGAGAGGCACTTGTGGGTGCAGTGCATGTTTGGCTGCCAGCTGGTGACGGTGCTGATCATTCTAATCCAGGCTGTTGGAAATAAATCCTAAGTTAGAGTCTTAGGCTGAAGTTCGAGTCTTCAGTTGTGACACGGTTAGAGTCCTGTCTAAAAATCTAAGTTCAAGTCTTAGTCGGGGGTTCAAGTCCCTTGTTGTGACACGGTTAGAGTCCTGTCAAAAAATCTAAGTTTAGTCTTAGTCGGGGGGTTCGAGTCCCTTCGTTGTGAAAACAGGTTCGAGTCCTGTCAAAAAATCTAAGTTTAGTCTTAGTCGGGGGGTTCAAGTCCCTTTCGCTGTAGTACAGGTTCGAGTCCTGTTTTGTGCAAAGGTTCAAGTCCTGATTGCTGATAAGGGCAGAGTTCGAGTCTCTGTTTTTATATCTGAGTTCAAGTCTCAGATTCCAGCCATGTGGCTTAGAAGAAAAGGCACAGAGTCACCAGTTTGGAGCTCTCCATGCATGACTTTTATGAGTAAGAAACATGGTGATGATTTTAGGACATGCGTTGAAATGTGGGTGGCTGAATTAGGTTTCCCAAAAATGGGTCCTTCAGCTTGAACCAATTGAACAAGATTAAATCGCAATTGGATGCTAGAGAAACTGTGTTGAAAAAAGGGAGAACTGTACGTGTGAAAGATTTGAATTGTCTGGATGAGAACAAACGGTGGTTGAATGTGTGGATGGCAGAGGCAAAGCTTAGGGACAGCAAACAGAAAAAGTCTGACTCTATAGAATGTGTAGGATCTGCGACTGACTCTTCTCCATCTGCTTTTTTTCGAGCATACCACCGATCCCACGTCAATACGACCGTAGGAACTCCAGAGATGATTGGAACCCGCTGTACCCCGCTCTCTCACCCCCCCCGCCCCGGTATCAAGCAGCAGCAGCGGCACCTGCAGCAGCGGCACCTGCAGCACCAGCAGCAGCAGCAGCGGCACCTGCAGCAGCGGCACCTGCAGCACCAGCAGCAGCAGCAGCAGCAGCGTCAGCTGCCCTCCCACCGCTGTTCCTCTTGCCTGCCCCAGAGGCATCTGCATCAGCCCCTCCCCTCCTGTCTGGAGCAGCACACAGACACACTGCTCCTGCTGAAATTCAAAGTTTGACTCACGATATGGACAAAATCACTTTAAATGACAATGGCATGACGCTGAGAGATGGAAAGACTTTACAAGCACCTATGATTGAATATCCCGGCCCAGAGGGAACCCCCGTTCTGGTTCTGCGTCAAATGGATCAGGAGATGAAAGAATTTGTCAAAGACTGGCCTTCTCCTCACCGCGGAGGTGATTCAATGGCAGACGCATTTCTGGCCTTCTGCAAAGCATGGCGTCCTACGGGCGCTGAAGTTAAAAAGCTTCTCCTCCTGTATTTAAAACCGGAGGGCTTCGCCAAGATAGAGCCGGCGGTCCATCGACAGAATTATGTGACTCTGAGGGCTCTGCAGGCGGAATGGACAGACGCGAATGCATGGGAGACATATATTGCCAACATAGTGACAGCTCTCAAGCGTGCGTTCCCAGTGAAATTTGATATGGGAAAGATTAAAGACTGCTCTCAAAAGACAAGTGAGTCAGTTGTGGACTTTTATCATCGTCTTGAGGATGTGTGCGTTGCCCACTCTGGTAGTCAAAAGCCAGAGAATTACACTGCCGCAGCTGAGACCACATTCGAGGTGATCTTTAAGATGGCGTTCTGCGAGGGCCTTCCCCAACCGATCCAAGCCGCACTAAAACAGACTTTGGTGGGAGGTTGGCAAGATAATCGCATCTCAGAAATCCTCAGACACGCAAAGCATGCTGAAATAAAGAACACTGAGGAGAACGCTGTGAAAGCTGGCGCGCAGGAGACGGCCCAGCATCAGGCCAACCTCACGTTGATCAAAATGACGGGCAGACAATTCCGTCGTGGAGGTCGTGGAGGTAGAGGACGGAGAAGAGTTGGCAACGGACATTTCGAGAACGATCGTGACCATGACGACCAGGACAAATGTTTCAACTGTGGTGAAATTGGACATTGGAATCGTGACTGTCCCCAGCCACGCCGAGATGCGAGACGCTGGAGTGGACGTGGACGGGGTGCGAGACCGGAGGACCAGCAGAGATTTTCTTCAGATTGATGTCTGGTTGACGTGGGATCTGACACAGCAACTGTACAGATGAGTAATGCACACACTCTTACACACAACACACTAACTGCTAACTGCAACGAAGACGCGCTTGCTACTGATTCACTGCTTGGCTTAATTGAGGATAGAATTAGGGAGTTAGAGAGCGGTGACAGGCCCAACACAGGGACCTACTTGGCTTATGAAAATGAAGCTTACAGGAAAATGCCAACTATTGTTTGTGAAATTGAGGGTAAACCGATCACCTTCTTAGTAGACTCTGGTGCAACCCACAGTGTGATTCAGACAAAGGAGCTCTCAATCAAATTAAGTGGCAGAAGTGTTTTTTCCACAAGTGCCAGTGGACAAACGGTACCGGAATCTTTTTCTGTTCCGATCAAATGCACTTGGGCAAACGAGCGTAACCCAGCAACAGCAAAACATTCATTTTTGATGTCTGACCTTTGTCCTGTAAACTTGTTAGGCCGTGATTTAATGATAAAATGGGAAGTTGTGATCACATCGACAGCAGAAGGCCTTAAAATAGACAGAGGTGCGTGCGCGACTAATTTTGTCAAAATAAACACAAATTGTCCTATGTCTATATATCAGTGGTGGTTTCACACCGCCAGCGCCAGTCATTTGATGGAGACTACATCTCCATTTCTTAATCCAAAATCTGATATATTGAAAGCTGAGGACCTGCATTGTGTGTGTCATTTACACCATAGCCCTGATTGTGAATTTGAAGAAACGTTTAAACTGGGCTCAAATGACTGCTTGATTATTGCTGACGTGTACTTTGATGATTTCAAGTGTGCTGTTTCAGTAGAGTTAAGCCAGTCACAAAAACAATGCTATCGTCTTGAAAATTCAAGTCCTCATATTTCAATAGCAAAAGCAAAGACTGACACATGCAAACCCTAGGCCTTTTTGTGCGCAGATGCACTTTGGCAGAGGACTGGGAGGCGTGTGACCGTGGAGAAAATGTGTTTTATTCACAATCCGTTTGCGCGTATAAAATGTCTCATACGAAGACAGTTGATGTGCTAAATTCAGTGCTTTTGACGTCTTCATATGATAACAATGACGGACCAAATTTGACTCTGACTTCTTTGACTTCTCCGCTTGAGATTTCATCTTTGTTATCACAAGTACCGGACAGTCTGTGGGCAAAAAGTAAACATGATGTTGGTTTGATCAAAAACTGTCCACCTGTTCGTATTGAAGCTAAATCTGATTATAGACCGAGGCAGCGTCAATATCCTTTGAGACAGGAGGCCATAGAAGGAATTACACCTGTTTTTGAATCATTTCTTGAGGCTGGCATTATTGTCCCATGTGAGGACTCCCCAGTGCAGACACCTATCTTTCCAGTAAAGAAAATTAGACCAGCAGATAAACCTACAGAGTGGCGTTTTGTGCAAGACTTGAAGGCGGTGAACGCTGCGATCATTTCTCCTGTTCCTAATGTCCCTAATCCGCACACTCTTTTGAGTCAGATACCAGCAGATGCAGAGTGGTTTTCTGTGGTGGACTTATCAAATGCTTTTTTTTCTGTGCCTGTGGACAGGGATTCACAATTTTGGTTTGCCTTCTGTTTTAATGGGAAAAGGTACACTTTCACACGACTTTGTCAGGGCCTAAACTCAAGCCCCTCATTGTTTTGTGAGGCTCTCAACCACAGTCTAGCGTCTCTTGTGTTGACAGACGGGACTGTTTTGATTAATTATGTGGATGATTTGATGATTGCTAGCCCCACAAAAGAACAATGTGAAGAGGACACAATTAAGCTTCTCCAACACTTGGCTGAGGAGGGCCACAAAGCTTCTGTTTCAAAGTTGCAATTTGTCAAACAAAATGTTGTGTTTTTGGGTCACATTATAACCCCTGAGGGTAAAACCTTGTCACAAAAGCGTGTGACGGCAATAGTTGATGCTCCGAAGCCCTCAAACAAAAAGGAACTTCTTTCATTTTTGGGAATGTGCTCATATTGCAGGCATTTTATCGCCAATTTCTCTGAGAAAGACAAGCCTTTACGTGATATGACTGTGGGGAGGAACATGTGTGCGTCCTCTCCCCTCGTGTGGACTCCAGAGGCAGAGCAGGCCTTTACAGACTTAAAAATGGCTTTGCAATCGGCTCCAACTCTGGGAATCCCAGACCCAAATAAACCTTTTGTTCAGTTTGTGCACGAGAGATGTGGATGCATAACATCAGTACTTTTGCAAAAACATGGAGATCTACTGAAACCTGTCGGTTATTTTTCAAAACTTCTTGATCCTGTGGCGAGAGGTCTCCCTGCTTGTTTAAGAGCCATAGCCGCGTGTGAAACAGCAGTATTGGCATCACGTGACTTTGTTGGATTCTGCCAGCTTTTCTTGTTTGTTCCACATTCTGTTGCTTTGATACTACAGGAGCAGAAATCTTCACATCTTTCTGCATCTCGATGGCTTCGATATCACACAACACTCTTGGGATTGCCACATGTGACTGTCCATAAATGTTCTACACTCAATCCTGCCACATAGTTGCCCCTCCCCGGTGAGGGCACACCGCACTCATGCATGGCAGAGCTGAATCAGATCTGTACTCCAAGACCAGATCTTTCTGATACACCATTGACTAACCCTGATTTAATTCTCTATGTAGATGGATCAGCATATCGAGACCCGGACACCGGAAGGTCGCATGCTGGATACGCTGTGGTGGACGACCATTCAGTCGTTCTTTCTTCCTCTCTTCCATCGATGTACTCGGCACAATTGGCAGAGCTGGTGGCGTTGACAGAGGCGTGTGCATACGCAAAGGGACGGTCTGTTACAATATTCACTGACTCCCGCTATGCATTTGGGGTGACGCATGATTTTGGTGCACTGTGGAAACATAGAAACTTTCTAAAATCTGACGGAAAACCAATTTTACACCACACACATGTTGCAGCATTGTTAGAAGCTATCTTGCTCCCATCTCAGATTGCAGTGTGTAAATGTTCTGCCCACACAGGTGCAACGGACTCTGTTTCATTGGGTAACGCTAGGGCGGACAGAGCTGCGAGAGCTGCTGCTAAACAGCTTCTTCTCCCTGCCCCATGCTGTCCCCCCAGAGACCCCTCCTCTTTCCCCTCCCGCCTCTCTGAAGGACCTCTGCTCACTCTCTTCCCCTGAAGAGCGGCGCACGTGGGCGGAGTCTGGAGCTGTTTTCCAAAATGGCGTCTGGGTAGGCCCAGATTTGAAGCCATGCCTTCCCAAAAGATTATTTAATTGCTATGCTAAGTTAACACATGGGTTGGACCATGTGTCAAAGGGGAATATGTTTCAAGCAGTCCAACAATTTTGGTTTACAAAAGGGTTTTCTACATTTGCTGCAGAGTTTTGCAGAAGCTGTTTGATCTGTGCACAGAATAACCCGGGTAGGCCGAGGTCTCTGGCACAAGCAGCTCACCCAGCTCCTGCAAGACCGTTTGAACATGTCATGATGGACTTCATTGAATTAACACTAGGACCGCCGCGCTCTTAACATACCTTGAACCGCCCCCTGCGGTCAGTTGACCGCTATGTATTTTGCGCTGATACAGCCTTTTGCCAAATTGATTGTTCACTAAAACAGAACTTGATGTTGCAAAGGAATCGTGATCATAATGAAACTGTGTAAATTATTTGTCTAAATATGCTAAGTAATTGTAATTCTAGCCGAAATAAAAGACTAAGACGACACATTTTGCGTGTACTGATCCATCAAAATTACGATGACTTTTCAGGCTAGATTTATTTTGTAACTTTGCAAACACCTAAAAGGTTGGTCACTATATGTTATATTTGACTCGGTAACAATATGTAAATTCAAACAATATAAATTATAGTTTAGAAAAGCACGGGACCATAACGTCTTCGCGCTGCTATATGCGTCTACTTCTTACGTCATCTCCAGACTGTTTTCTCTTTAGAGGCCGAAATCACCGTGGGAAATATTATCTAGATAATAATAATAGTATTCGTATTGACACAAGATCATCAGCTAGGCTACCATCGTCAATGTAAAATCTTCAATTTTACACGGGACACGTTAGAAAGACAAATATATGTATATATATATTTGTATTTATTTGAGACAAGCAGTGCTCTTTATGCTCAGAACAAAATTATAATCATTGCCTTGCAGTGCGCGCTGTGCAGAATAACACACAGTGTTATCTGGATGAAAAAAGAATTATATCCTTATTGATATGAGGGCCGCCTCTGCCCCACAGTCCCTCTCTGCAGTGTCCGCGGGTGACGAGCACTCTGATCTGCACTCTGCCTTGATAGTTCATCTAATTGTTCTATTTTATTGCGATATTGTATTCTGCTGTATTGCCTTCTTGTATGTATAAATATAATAATGTAATTGATGATGAATGAAAAGGCAGAATGGAGCGACAGCGCGCACACAGACACCTGCGTATGGCTGGCATTACGCACGCTCATGTGCGTTATTGCTTCTGGACTTACAACACTGCTGCCCGTGCCGTGAATGCACTATGGGTTTACGTTCAGATTTAGAATATTATAGGTGTTCTCCCCGCTGTCACTTTCTACCTCAAAATGTGACATCTCTCACCTCCGTCATACTGTTCTCATTCAATGTCTTGAAGCACTGTCAGGGCTTCATACCGTGTACTTGCAGCTCTATTCATTTTGTACTCCTCTCTCTCCCAAATAATAATAAAAAAGTCCCTTTAGAGTCTAATGACAACATATTGATACATTTTTATGAGGCGCGAAAAACCCCCGGGAAAGGTTACTATGACAACAGTCGCCCCTGCGCCATGTATCTCCATGGGGCAGCAGAAAGGGCTGTGGTTTAGAAAAGTTAAAAATGCGTGTAAATCTTGTTTTCTTTACTTTTTCCAAAACCAAAACACACCAAAATATAAACAACAAGTACCTAGTAAAAGTCATAAAATTTCAACTTCTGGCGTTTTGTTTTGAATACACTAATTAGCATAATAAAGTGAGTGACGGTCAGTTGACCGCTAGGGGCGCTCCTAGTGTTAACACCCAGTGAAGGGAAAAAATTTTGTCTTGTAATGGTGGATATGTTTTCAAAGTGGGTTGAAGCTTTCCCTGCAAAACATGCGTCCTCCGCTGCAGTAGCAAAAGCCATCTTAACTGAAATTCTCGTAAAATGGGGAATTCCTCAGAAATTGTCCAGCGATAATGGGTTGCATTTTGTTAATGAAGTGATAAAACAACTGTCTGATTACTTGAAATTTGATTTGAAAACTCACTGCAGCTATCACCCACAATCTGGTGGGGCTGTGGAGAGAGAGAATCTCACAATAAAATCAAAACTGGCCAAATGCTGTCAGGAAACAAAACTTAGCTGGCCAAAATGCTTGCCAATTGTCCTGATGTACATGCGAATGAGAGTGCGCACGCGTAACAACCTGTCCCCATTTGAGATTTTGTTTGCAGCTCCCCCCAACGTAGGAATGGGACCTGCGGGACCTCAACCAGATGCCATCCTGTGCGAGGATGGCATGATAAGGTATTGTATAACCCTAACAAAATCTCTTTCTGATATCAGAAGACAGGTGTCATCGGCCCTTCCCCAGCGTGCGGACCATCCACTTCACAACATCCAACCCGGCGACTTCGTCCTGATAAGGAACTTCAAGCCGAAGAGCTGGAATCACCACCGCTGGCTTGGCCCATTCCAAGTTCTCCTCGTCACTCACACCGCTGTGAAAGTCCAGGAGAGGCAGACCTGGGTCCACGCATCGCACTGCAAACAAGTCCCAGCTCTTCTTGCGGAGCGTACAACGGAAGCATAAGGAGGATCTTACCCCCTCCCAACGCGAAAGGAGGGTCACACACACACTACCCCCCTCCCAACGTAAAACATTGTTAGAAATACATTGTTAGCTGCATCAGGAGAAAAGTGCTGGTAACTACACTCCTAGGTCATAGATGAGCAGAAGATAGGTAACACAAGAAGATCAACAAGTGACAATCCAAGTCCATGATGCGCCACGGCCGGGAACACGGTCCCTGGCATCCATTCAGGCAGCAGGGCCTTTGCGGGATGAGAAAGACTTTGTGTGTGCTCATGTTCATTTCCTTCCTCATTGTGTTTCCACTGTTATGGTTTGAAGGTCGGGAGAATAAAAAGAACAATCAAACACAGGTCGTTGTCAATTACACTTCTAACACCTCTTCATTTACATCAAAACGTGTGAAGAGGGAAGATGTGGCCGAGATGGATTCTGCGTGGTCACGAGTTTTGGCTCAGTCAATAAATCACACCAGTGTATACACACTTAATTTGTGGTATCAATATGCAAAATTCTTAGCAGAGTCACAAAATCGCTCAAATTGCTACATTTGTACTCATATGCCTATTGCGTCATCAAACCCACAAATCACACCTCTACCAATGGTCGATGCATTTACACATTTTCCAAAGATTCTGTATTCATCTGTCTCTGTTGATTATTTCAATGAGACCGTCACAAAGCGTACAGGTAAATGTCTCCCCCCACTCAAACCGGCTGTTAGTTCTGATTTCTTCAATTATTGGTTTAATGATGAATTAGATCCAATTTTTGGCCCGGTACATATCAGACCTGGTACTAAATTTGTATGTTACACTCCTATACAGATGGGACGGATCCCTATGTCATTTTGTTTAAATGTGTCTAACCCGTGCACTTCTTTTCATGGTAATTCAAGTTTAAACACTTCTCAGGCCGCTCCGGGTAGTACATGTGCTCCATACTTCACGGTTCCCGACTCAACAGGGACTAATCCTCTGAAGGGCGTTTTGTGGCTGTGTGGCTTCAATGTCTATGTGAAGCTACCATTTAATTGGATAGGTCGTTGTGCTCTGATGATAGCTTCAGATCACTCTTACATCATCTCTACCTTTCCTAGATTGCGAGGTAAGCGCGATTTTGCTGCTCATGATGCAGTTTGGGGGACGGACGTTCCAGATGATCACAAACTGTGGACCAAGCCAACAAAAGTACTTCTCTCCTTGTTCCCCCAGGTCGGTGTAGGGAAGGTTATGCTTAGAATGGAAACCTTGAATTATCGGTTTTCAAGTTTTGTGAATTCAACTGTAACTATTCTAGAGGCCAACAGAGTAGAAGTAAATGCGTTGCGTGCCGTTGCTTTACAAAACAGGATTGTTTTGGACCATTTGGTTGCCTCAAGTGGAGGTGTTTGTGTTTTACTTAATCAGACCGCTTGTTGTACTTATATTCCTGATAACAGTGCCGATGATGGGATCATTGCACAGGGTATTCGAAATCTAACCACTTTGCGCGATGCGGTTAACCGTGATTTTGTTCTAGATGCTTCATGGTTTTCAGACTGGCGAGCGTGGTTGGTTCAAATAGGTACTGGACTTGGAGTAATATTAGTACTACTAATAGTGCTGTCATGTTGTGTCATTCCTTTGATCCGTTCATTGCTCCGACGTATGATCTCGTCGACACTCGTTCAACACACTTCTCTTAACCTGCATGTTGACTGTCTTGATGAGGACAGTGATCCATTTAGTGAGATGTTACTTGATGATTTTGAGTAAATTGGTTTGTATGTCTAACCCATTTTATGACGGATTTTCTTAAACCTACTAGGTGTGAAAGTTTTGATGTTCCGGGGTTTCTTATATTTTACTCATATTTTACTTATATTTTACTTATATTTTACTTATATTTTTAGTACTTGATATATTTTTAGTACTTGATAGCATGTGTGTGATTGATTTAAGATAATCAAAGGGTGGATTGTTATGGTCAGCTCCCGGCACAAGATATTCTAATCATTTAGGTCGATACATGCGTCTTGTTTCCCAGCGTCTGAAACTGCTTCCCATCACTGTTTGAAACATTAGCACAAAGGGCCTCTTGTTCAGCGATAGCCTTGGTCACCATCTGCAGGTCCATTATCTCAAATGTACTCACAGCGTGTCCCTTCTTATCAAATTCGAAGGTCCTTTCGGTGCGCTTAATGTATCTCCCAAACTTTCCCGTCTGCAGCCGCGTATGACTCATCTCTCTTGTGACGAATGCTCATTGTTCTGTCTGACACACCTCCAGTATAAGATCATAGACACGCTTGTTGGGGAGAGACAGACACGGCATCGGTCCAGGTCCCGTTTCTGTCTGGCTCCTTTCTGCGCAGAAATGTCATTTTTGTACTCATCACTTCTGTGAATAAACTGCACAAAAGGACA